CAAAAATATATTTTATGCACTTTTATAGTTTCACATATATGAAAGAAGCACTTCAATAATTATGAGCCAAATAAATAAAAAGAGTTAAAAATGAAAAATCAATAGAGGGAATCAGGTTAGCTTAGTGTTTTAGAGAGTTCAATGCAAAAAGGGCCAATCAAGTTCTTAGTTTCTCTTGGACATATCGAGTGATTTTTCTTATTATTCTAAGGGTCTATTTGGTCCTTGGAATAAGTGCCTAGAATTAGAATAAGAATGGCCCATTTCGATTCCAATTGTTTGTTTGGCTAGAATGGGATTCCCATTCTAGGGACTAACAAGAAGTAAAAAATTCATGACAAAAAACCCCCAAACTTGATATTAATAAAATAATAAAATATTATTAAATTAATAATAAGATAATAATAATATATTAATGAAAATAATAAATCATTAACAAATTAGTAAAATAATAATAAAGTAATATTACTATAATAAAATAGTAATAAATAATACTACCAAATAAAGATATTAATTATTAAATATAATAATAATAGAGTATACATAAAATATTAATACAATATAATTAAAGTGATAAATTACTAATAAAAAATTATGAACATAGTAATAAGATAATGATAATAATAAAATAATAGTACCAAAATAAATTAATAATAGAAATCAAATATCTTATTTATTAAATAATAATTAAGTATAACTAAAGTATTAATATAATATAATTAAAGTATAATAAAATACTAACATATTAATTATTAAATAATAATAAATTAATTTTAAAATAATAGACAAAAATAATAAATATTAATAGACTAATAAGAAAACAGTAATAAAACATAATAGAAAAATAAATTATTAATAAAATATTATAATAAAAATATTCTTAAAGTAATAATTGAATTACTAATATAAAATAAAATATTCATAGATTAATGATAAATACTGAGGTAATAAATATAATACTAATAAAATAGTAATAACTAAGTACTAATAAAATAAGAATTATATATTCATAAAATATTAATGAAGTATTAATAAAATAATAAATAAACTAATACAAAATTGAAAATTTTCATTTGATTCTGATTCCAACTCCAAAATGAACCAAGCAATAACAATCAAAATTTGATTTCAATTCCCAACTGAACCACATAGACATCAAGAATAAGTGATTTTGATTCCAATTCCAATCCTATCCGCAAACCAAACGGACCCTAAATCTAACATCCTAAGTTTGTTATTTCCTCATTTATTTTCCTAATGGATTTATTTTTCATTGATTTCTTTTGCATAAAGAAAATTAACTAAGTTATTTTATTTCTTCTAAACTATTGAATGACTATTAAATATAATATCCAATTATATGGATGATTCTTCATATGTTTCCTTTCTTCTAGTTTGGTCATTTGTATCATTTGAAAACTTTGCAGTTTGAAACATTAAATGTAAAATGTTTATAGTTGTTAGTTAATACGTTATTATTTTATTTAATGCTTAATAGTTGAAACCCATTGCTTATAAACTTTTATTTTATGGATATTTATACCTTCTACCATTATAACTCGATAATATTATATGCTATTTTTACCAATTTATAAACTTTTTACTAATTTTATTCTTAAGCTTTAAGGCTCACGCCTTGTAATGCCTCAAGGCTTATGCCTCACCTTTTTGGGTCATTAAGCCTAAACTATGCCTTAGCCTTTTAAAACGTTGTTTGCAACTTTAGTTGAAATGCATTATATGGCCTCTACTTCCTAGGATTTCTTTGACCATATTATATGATATTATATATTTTCTTATGGAATTAGGGTTTTCAATTTTTATAGCAGTTCAGACAATGTTTATCAAATTTTCATTTGGATAGCATGTAAAAGTTGGGGGATATGATTTTTAGCATTTTAAGCTAGTGTTTGGGAGTACTTCCCTTAAGTGCTTATGGAGAAAAGCACTTAAAAGATTTCAAAAACACCTGCCACCTAATTATCAAAATACCTATACTACCTTATAAAGGGTGAGCAAATGGGTAAGTTCTAACCGAATGGAACCAGGCATCCTCAAATGCTACAAGATAGGGTTTGGTTTCAAATTCTTGAAACCGACCCTGCCCAGGCCAACTCTAGGGTATAGGGGTTTACCCTACTCGAATTGACCCAATGAACTAACCTTGGTGGAACCTACTTTGGAACTGAACTTGCCTTGACATAAACCCCAAAATACTTTTGGGGATGTGAAGATTTGAACCCAAACAGACTTATGGTTACAAAGGCCGTGGTCACATTTGACCATTGAGTTACTTAAGTTATTTGATTATTTGCTTTCATTTTAATATTTAGATGTTTACAATAAGTAATATAAAAGATAATAGTTACAAAATATAAATTTAAATTATAAGTTTTGAACCATACAATGATAATCTACAAGTTACTCAATTTAATCAATAAAGATAAAATATAAGCTTTGAACAATATATTATATTGTTGAAAATCAAGTTTTTAAAGAACATTCTTCCTTTTATTATTATTTTTTTGGGGGGTGGGGGTGGAGTTAAGAAAGAACAAGTTCCTTGGATACACCCTGGAACTGACCCCTAGAGGGTAGGTTCCAAGTTCTACCATGGAACCGAATTGAACCGACCCATGCAGGAATGGCAACAGGGTGGGGTGGGACTCCCCATCCTCGTCCTCGTCCCCATGGGGATCCCCATTCCCCGTGATTTTTTATAATGTTAACCATTTTGTTTTTGTTTTTTATTTTATTTAAAAAATAAAAATAAAATAATTAAAATTTACAATTATATTAGAAAAGATTCAAATATATTCAACCATATTTTAAAAATATTAGTATATAGATGTATGCTACATATATACATATATATTAGTGGGGATCCCATAGGGTAGGGATCGGGGTCCCCACGGGGTGGGGAGTGCTCCATCCGTCCCCGCTAATAGGGATGAAAATTTCGCTACCCCTGTCCCCACGGGGGAAAATCATCCCCATCCCCACTCCATCGGGGCGGATTCTTATAAGAATCAGGAAAATGGGAAAAATTGCCATCCCTACTTCCATGCTCACCATTCACCAATCACCCCTATACTACCTCATCTTAAAGAACCACTTTTCATGAAACACTCATAAATTACATATTTAATAAGTACTTATTTAAAAAACATTTATTTAAAAAAGTTCATTTAAAAACAATAAGCACTCCCAAACGATCACCTTAGTTATGGTCCGGAATAGATTCATTTATCAAGAAAAAATTATAAATAAGCTCATTGTCAAGATATCTCATAAATGTTCTCACAGCACCCAAGAATAGAAGTATAGAACCATTTTACATGGGGAACCGGTGCTCCAAATTAATTATAAAGGAAAACCACAATTGAATCAATTTCCGTTTCAGTTTGATTTATTTCCATGTATTTTGGGCCACAAAAGAGGCAAAAAGTCAGAAACGTAACCAAAATTTTGTTTACGAATTAAAGTTTACGGACAGAGACTTGAGCAGGTTTTAGATGAAAACGTTATCTTCTCTTTGGCTGCTTTTGTTTCCATGAATTGAGAATGAGAAAATGAAATTTTTGTCACAAAAGCTTAGCTCGAAGCATGGTTTTTAAAATCAGATCAGAAAAATTGGGAATTAGTCTATTTTACTCCATAACTGTTATTTTACTAAAAATCGTTGATTTGAGTAATTAAACTATTCGAACCGTTTAATGGTTTTGGACGTTTTTTAATTTTTTTTGTCTGAACAGGCCATCTATTCGATTCGAACGATTGGATTGTTCAACCCAAAACCAGACCTCTAACCAGTTCATTGTTCGGTTCGATTTTAAAAATCTTAATTCAAAAAAGACAAATACAAAACAGTGCAAATGTAAGATTTAAAAATGGGCATTATATACAATTATTCTTTTCTTGTTATCTTCTATGTTAGTACTAGCAAATAAGTTTCAATACAAATTTGGTGAGATTTGGATCGACAAATTTGGCTTTTCACATCAGTTTGGGTGCAGACCAAGGTCTATATTTAGAATTTATCTTAGATTAACCCTTAACCAGGCCCAACCCATCCAATTCATCCCTTGTTTAGAAATGGCCAAAAGGGGTTTAAAGAAATTTTACAGGAAAAATGGATTTAATGGAACGAAAGACGTTACAAACATTGAAGAGAGAGAAAGAGAAAGAGTTTTATGATGATTAATTGGAGAGTAATGAAATTTTAAAAAGTAAAATCTAAGAGGGTTTTTATAGAGACTTCTTCTTCTTATTATTTTTTAATTTAATTTTAATAATAAGAGGAGATTAGTGTGAGCATTGAGGTGAGAGGACTCTTTGGCTTCCCCGTTTCCTCTATCCAGTATAGACGTGAGAGAATCCTAGCCAAATAATAAACTGGCATGACTCTGCAATGGACCTGTTCGAGTCAATGATTACAACCCATGGTTAACCCCAAACGGATAAACCGATGAATTAACCGGTAACTTCCCGATTCGCGTCTGGTCCGATTTGGTTGCCATCTGAGCTCTGACACAACCAATCGAGGCCATCCACCTGGTGAGGGGACTCATAATAATTAGTCATGTCTCCTCACCCTCCCATGGCTGCCCATTTATTATTCCATTGCGCATTTCACCTACCCGAGAAAGAAAGTTTCTTGCGGGTAAAAGTAAAACCAAATAGTTGCTTTGCCACGTGGCTAGACTAACTGGGGCTCAAGAACGCCAGGTGCAGAGACGGTAAACCCCGATTTGACTTGCCAATTGCGGAATTGCCATCTCAAAGTTACCACCTGTAAAAGCAGTTATAACATGGCCCAAAAAGCCGGCTCGCCCCCCTGACCCCTGACCCCGGGCTCTCTCAAATGGCATAAACAAAACAACAGAAGAAAAATCAAAAAAGAAAGGTGTAAAGTTAAAAGTGAAAATTCATCCAAGAGTCTAGCAGTTATAACTCGGAACTCACATGAACTAATCATAAAGCCTCGTGAAGCAGAGGAGTCCTGAGCCCCAGTACAGTGGTGATCAGGACTCAGGAGTGCTGGCTGCCTGTCTCCAACTCCAACTAAGCAGAGAGAGAGAGAGAGCGCTCTGCACAGTATTTTTCTTTTATTTTTTTTTTCTTTATTCCATTTCTTCCCTTCTCTTCTTTTTTGGTAAAAATCCCTACCCTTTCTAACGTCTTTCTTTTTTTGTTCTTTTTTATTCAAAGGATTCTGGGGAAGCGGGAACCTAAGCAAGCAGACAGAGAAACACAGAGAGCGCTTAGTTGCGCTTGCACACTCCTCCATATGGCGACGCTTCACTCGCCTTCTCTCGTCTAACATTGAACACGCTCCCCTCCACTGCTGCTTCTGCTCTCTGTCTCTGTCTCTCTCTCTCTCTGTTCAACACCAAACACTTGCCTTTTGACCGGACAACGGTCATGCCACCACCCGGCCCACCGCCGCTACCACCACCATCACCACCACCACCACTACTACTACCATCCGTGGCGACTAAGATGACTACTCTTCTCTTCCTCTTCGTGGTTCTCTCAACCACCAATATCTTATCTTGCGCGGAAAGGAGCCCCGAAGCCCTGGCAGAGATCCAGGCATTGATATCGTTCAAACTTAATCTGCATGATCCGCTGGCTGCATTGAATGGCTGGGATGCATCGACAGCATCCGCTCCCTGCGACTGGAGAGGCATTGTTTGCTACGATGGCCGGGTTAGCGAGCTACGCCTTCCTCGTCTCCAACTTGCTGGTCAACTCACTGAACATATCGGTAAACTCACCGAGCTTCGCAAGCTTAGCCTCCGTTCCAATGCCTTCAATGGAAGTATCCCATCTTCTCTTTCCAAATGCACGCGCCTCCGGGCTGTGTTCTTGCAGTATAACTCGTTCTCCGGCCGCCTTCCGCCGGAGATCTTCAATCTCACTGATCTTCAAGTCTTTAATGTGGCTCAGAATCTTTTATCGGGCGGAATCTCCGGTGATCTCCCTCAGAATCTCCGGTACCTCGATTTATCTTCCAATGCCTTCTCTGGCGAGATCCCGAAGAACTTCACTGCTGCATCCGGGGTTCAACTCATTAACCTCTCGTTCAACAAGTTCACCGGAGAGATTCCGGCGAGCTTTGGAGAGCTTCAACAGCTTGAGTATCTGTGGTTGGACTGGAATCTATTGCAAGGAACACTGCCTTCAGCGCTTGCAAATTGTTCTTCACTCGTGCATTTGAGTGTTCAAGGCAATGCGCTTCGAGGTGTAATCCCGGCCGCTATTGGAGCTCTTCCTAGACTTCAGGTTCTTTCGCTCCAACAAAATAGCCTCTCCGGTTCGGTTCCTTCTTCTCTATTTTGCAATGTGTCAAGTAGTCCTCCGTCACTTCGAATCGTTATGCTTGGATTTAATGCGTTCACGGGCCTTATTCCACCGTCAAAGGCAACATTTTTTAGTCCTTTGCAGGTGTTAGATCTTCAGCAGAACAGAATACGCGGCTTATTCCCGCTGTGGTTGACGAATGTGTCGACGCTAACAGTGCTGGACATTTCAGGGAACTCATTCTCCGGCATGTTACCTGTCGAGATCGGTAACCTTTCGATGTTAAAGGAGCTCAAACTGGCAAACAATTCATTTAATGGTTCTGTTCCAGTGGAGATCGGAAAGTGCAGCTTGTTAAGCGTTCTTGACCTCGAAGGGAATCGTTTTTCCAGTGAAGTTCCTTCATTTATAGGAGAGCTAAGGGGTCTGAAGATGTTATCTCTTGGAGGGAATTTCTTCTCTGGCCAGATTCCGAATTCTTTCTCTAATCTGTATGAGATGGAAATACTGAACCTAAGGCAAAACAACCTGACTGGTAGTGTGCCGGAAGAGCTAATGCGATTGAGCAATTTGACTACTTTGAATCTCAGTGGCAACAGATTTAATGGTGAAATTCCTTCGAGTGTAGGCAACTTACGAAGGCTACTTGTTCTGAATATGAGTGGTAATGGTTTCTCAGGAAGGATACCATCCAGCATTGGAAGTCTGTTGGACCTTAGGACTCTGGATTTGAGTCGGCAGAACCTCTCTGGTGAGTTGCCGCTCGAGCTTTCAGGTTTGCCAAATCTGCAAATAATTGCATTGCAAGACAATGCACTATCTGGGGATGTACCTGAAGGTTTCAGTAGCTTATTGGGTTTAAGGTATTTGAACCTCACATCAAATGCTTTTTCTGGGGAGATTCCAGCAACCTACGGCTTCCTCAAATCATTGCTTGTTGTCTCATTATCCAACAATCGCATTTCAGGCACGATTCCGGTGGAACTCGGCAACTGCTCCGATCTGGAAATCCTTCAGCTTCGTTCAAATCGTTTGAGTGGCCAAATTCCAGTTCAGCTTTCTCATCTCTCTCACTTGAACGAGATTGACTTGGGGCAGAACAATTTCTCGGGTGAAATACCAGAGGAAATATCCAAATGTTCATCTCTAACTTCTTTGTTATTAGATGAAAATCAGCTGGTGGGTTCCATACCAGACTCACTATCTAACCTATCAAATCTAACCATGCTAACCCTCTCTACGAACCACTTGACTGGGATGATCCCGACAAATCTGACTCGTCTTTCTGGTTTAAAATACTTCAACGTATCAAGGAACAACCTGGAGGGAGAGATTCCAGAGGTGCTGGGTTCCCGATTCAACGACCCTTCTGCATTTGCAATGAATAAAAATCTATGCGGAAAGCCGTTGGATGTAAAATGTCAGAATGTATCCAACAACAGGAAGAAGAGGAAGAGGCTTATTCTGCTGGTTATTGTTACAGTAGCTGGAGCTTGTCTTGCGACCTTATGTTTCTGCTGCTATGTTTTCAGTCTCTTATGGTGGCGGAAGCGCCTCCGAGATAGGGAAGCTGGGGAAAAGAAGCACAGCCCAGCACGCGCAAGCTCAGGAGCAGACGGTGGTCGCGGCAGCGGAGAGAATGGGGGGCCAAAGCTTGTCATGTTCAACAATAAGATCACTTACGCAGAGACGTTGGATGCAACGAGGCAGTTTGATGAAGAGAATGTGCTGAGCAGGGGTCGTTACGGTCTGGTGTTCAAAGCCTGCTTCCAGGATGGGACGGTTCTGTCAATCCGTCGTCTCCCTGATGGATCAGTTGAGGAGGGGACCTTCCGAAAGGAAGCTGAATCGCTTGGGAAGGTGAAAAGCAGAAATCTAACAGTTCTCCGAGGGTACTATGCAGCGCCACCTGATATCCGGCTGCTTGTCTATGATTACATGCCCAATGGCAACCTAGCTACTCTTCTTCAAGAAGCATCTCATCAGGATGGGAATGTGCTCAATTGGCCGATGCGCCATCTCATTGCTCTTGGGGTTGCTCGAGGGCTGGCCTTCCTGCACTCATCCAACATGGTTCATGGTGATGTTAAGCCACAGAATGTGCTATTCGATGCTGACTTCGAAGCCCATCTCTCGGATTTTGGACTTGAACGTTTAGCAGTTGCAACGCCGGCTGAACCATCAACGTCGTCCACCTCTGTTGGGTCACTGGGATATGTATCGCCTGAGGCAGCTTTGACTGGGCAAGTGACCAAGGAAGCTGATGTATACAGTTTTGGGATTGTGCTTTTAGAGCTATTGACGGGCAGGAGGCCGGTGATGTTCACACAGGATGAGGACATAGTTAAGTGGGTGAAGAGGCAGTTGCAGAGAGGCCAGATATCTGAATTGCTTGAGCCCGGGCTCCTTGAGCTTGATCCGGAATCATCTGAGTGGGAAGAATTCCTGCTAGGTGTTAAGGTTGGCCTTTTGTGCACAGCACCAGACCCTCTTGACCGGCCATCCATGGCTGACATTGTCTTCATGCTTGAAGGTTGCCGGGTTGGGCCTGACATCCCCTCCTCTACAGACCCTACCTCTCAACCATCTCCTGCATGAGGGAGAGAAGGGAATAAGCAGGAGAGGAGATGGATTATTGAAGAAATTGTCTTGGTTGGGATAGAGTTGCAGCTACAATCACTAAGATGTGCTCCAGCCCTTGCTTTGCAATTCGGATCCCATTCTTTCCTAATTGTAGTTAACAGTTCTTTTCTCATTGATGAGTTTATCATGTTCATCAAGTTTCTGTCTTTGTGAAACTTTTTTTTTTCCAATTGTGATTAAGATAGAATTACTGAATTATAGTGTTGTGATTAATTGTGATGCATAATGTTCCCTGTATGATTAATTGGTCACTGAAGTATATTCTCATAATCTCATTGCCAACTGACAAATGCAATATATCCATCCTTATATTTTTTTCACATTCGAACAATGGTGGTGGAATAAGTTAATAAGATATGAAGAAGAATGGAGCCCATGGTTCAATTGATTCACAAACCACAATACATCCAAGAGCCATGCTTTATTAGTATACCCATCAAAATGAAGAGAGAGGAAGTGCATCAACTCATGTGATTAGTTTAACTTTCACATGAATCAATCTGATATATTTTGGATCTTTGTTCCATATGCCCTTTGACAAACTCCATTGAGTTTGCATTCTGCATGGCTATCGGTTTTGGACAAGAATTTCCATCAAATCCCACAATGTTCTGCAAAATAGCTAGCTATTATTTCTTTAAAAGACAGATTCTTCTTTAATTGCACATGTAATGGCTTCTCTGTTAAAGGGCAATGAAAGAGTGATAAACTGGTAGATGAGAATTGTTTTTCTGTTTGATCTTGCCCCAGACTAGCCCATGGTTTTAATTTTCTTGTTTGACTGTAGTCACTGGTTCTGCAAATGCTGAAGCTGATCCAAAAGCCCTGACAGATCACTTCATTGAGCCTGCAAGATTTGGAATTTATTTTCCGGCCAGCAAAATTGACTCTACTATGGATGAAATCTGTGTCTGCCCATCCAATGTAGTGGCTGAAATAGCCTATCATAGGAGGGAAGGTTGGTTTCATTGATATGATTTCTGGACAATGAAGGCCCAGCAGCCTAACATGAGAATGTTATAATGAAGTTATATACACTTACATCAAGCAATGGTGCCTGTACCTTTCTTGGCCTTTTGGCTAGTATCAAATGTAATCATGTTGCCTTTCTAAGCATCATACACGAGTCATGTATTGGGTGTAATTTAATTGTTGGGAGATCCTTTATTTTTACATTTGATAGTGATAATAGCATGGTGAATTGCAGCTTGAAGCTGTATCAGTGTTCTTGAAATTGGTCCTAACCTCATGGTATGGATGATTCAGCTCCATGCCTCTATCATGAATGACAACCTCATGAATCAAAACAGAAGTGGTGTTCTCTTGTTCACTATCAAATTCCCTAATTTATAAGATTTTGTTACCAGTGATCCTTAATTAAGTATAACTTTCTTGGCCTTAAATCATCACTTAATTGTCAGCCCACCAAGTAACCAGTATTCTCTGATGCATTTTGTACTATGTGCTATATGTAGGTGACAGTGAATGAACTCCAGATGAATAGTTTGTCAGAATATTCTTTAGGACAAAATGTTCAATAAAATGCATGTAACTATCATATATATTCTTCTATCAAATTTTCACATAACTAGAAGATTATTTCCCATGTAAAAAAAGCATTATAGTTTTTTTTTTTTTGTTTTGTTTTGTTTTTTTTTTTTTTCTGTTATTGTGCATGTTTGGATGTGGTAGAGAGGGCCAGAGGAATGGGTAAATATAGAACCAGTACTGTGTTGACCCAGACTTTCTTTCACCTTGATCAGAGTGAAATGATTATTTTCCTGAATCATACTGGGCTTTATTCTTTTTATGATTCAATGAAATTTTGTTGTATTTTGTTTAGTTTTAAGATTCGAAAATTTTAACATTTTATATTTACCTACCCCCAACCCCACCACTCTTCTTAACTTTGCCATTTTTTTTTGAAAGTTTACTTAAATATATATTTTTTTCTTTGTGCCACATTGGATAGGAGATGGTGTGGGAGAGATCTAATAAGTAGTTGGGCCAAGGGGTTTGCAGTTCCAATAGAGAAATGGAAGTATACACATGCTAGCGCCTGGGTCCATTATCATTAATTAATTAATTTATTTTTATTTTCTTGTCTGTTATAAATCAAGTTTCCAATTATAGAATTGCTTATTTGTCTTAAGCATTATCTTTGGTTAATTGTTTACCTTAGTTGGATGAACTATTTTGTAACTGTCCAGATTAATGTTGCTTGGTTTTAATTTGGGTGAGATTCCTTTCTAACTGTCCAAATTGAGGTGGGCCTTGGCACAACGGTTGGGTTGCTCCATTGGGATCTGGGTGGTCAGGGTTCAAATCTTGGAAACAGACTCTTTATATGTGCACGGATAAGGATGTGTACATCTGTCCCTCCCCAGACCCCACATTGGCGGGAGCCTCATGCACTGGGCTGCCCTTAGCCCCTTACATACCTTAAGAAATTACAGTGCAGTTTTATCCAGGGCATCATACAACTATTGAAACCTAGAGGTGGTATGCCCAAACCTTGCTTATCAGTTGTATACTATTGGGTGCGAAATCTGATTTAAGGACAATGTGATTCTGCATAACTTAGAGGGTTGTTTCTATTTTCTTACCATTCATGTCTTTAGGAAATGTAAAATCTTTATTATTCTCTTGCCATATTAACTCTCTTTTTGCTTCTCCATTATGTTGCATGTGGCAGGAAAATCAAGAATATCTTGTTTTGAAAACCTCTCTGTTGGAAAATAGATGAATTAGCCCTTATTAGACAATAAAGGCAATCTGTGAAGTGGGGGATTCAAATAGAAATCTTGGAATTTATTTCTATCCATGTTTTATCTGAATCCTGGTAGTCTGCTAGGTTCATTCTATGATTCATATGTCCTAATTGATTTCCATGAATCTTTTAAGTGAAAAGGTGATATAATATCATTGATAGAAATAAAAGGTGATGTAATCTTCATTTATAGAGGTGTTTATGGATCAATCCACAATCTATATAAGTTTATTTGGTGTTTATATTGGGATTATCTTCTATCTAAATTTATCAATCATGTTTACCCCATCCCCACCTCCCCCTCTCCACCCTTCAAATGTTTTTATTTTTTATTTTTTTTTATTATTATTATTTTTTATTTTATGGTAGAGGTGGGATGGGAGTAGTATTGGGGGGTTGGATATTGCTTACGGCACTCAGTTAAAATTAACTTTCCTTATCTGTAAATTATATGAGGTTGTGTATATGAATTAGCTAACATATCCATTATTAAATTATGAACACACCTATAGTTTGTACTTGTGTATTACTTATATGATTACCATTTTTGTTGTTTCAATCACTATTTGCTTATTAATTAGGAGGGAAATTTGAATTATAACTGTTCCTTGCGGCTCTGTCGTCAAAATTGTTCTAATGTATATTCTTTCTTAATGGGTTTTAGGAATAGATGTGAATCATGACCCTTTTCTTGGATTCCTCGTATGCTATCTGTGGTCTTGATTCCTTTTAACCCATTGGACAAGTATAGTCGTGTTACTGTACTTTCCTAAAGTTACTATTTCTGTTGTCTGTTTGCTCTATCTAAAATGCTTGAAGGATTACTGTTAGAAAATAAAATCCTATTCAAGGACCTCACCTAACAGCTTAACCTTTTAAGTTGAATGGTTCTTTGAGATGGTATCAATGCCTGAATGATCAAGTGGTATAGTATTTGATCCTCATCGCCCTGTATAATTAGTTAAATTTCAGCACAAGATATGGATAAGCTTCAATCCCAATATGCTTCAAGCATGGTTCCTTGAGAATTATACCTGAATACTTCACTCTCTCTCTCTCTCTTAACCATGGAATTTGTGTAAAGTGATTTAAATACCAACTTGCATGAATACAGGATTGTCTCTCATCCTTTTGACTTGATCAACGTGCAACAACAAAAAGTAGACTAATTTGAGACATTACTCTCAAGAACGAATCAACTTATGTCATCAAAGTGTTAATACAGTGATGGATTATAAAGAGGCAAAGTGGATTAATTTTTATACTCTATATAAGCCCATAACTACCAGGAAACCTGGTTCATGTGAATGGGCATTCATCCGGAAACATGGTTGAGTCTTTTCTGGCTTCTTACTAGTTTTCTGTTTCTTGTGTTGTTTTTCACAAGTTTCCACCTCTTGAAACTATATATGGTGCAAACATATATAGCATCTGTTCCTTGGTTTTTTTAGCCATGCGAAGGGTTGACGTGGCCAAATCTCATCACCAATCTGATCCTTGGTGCACTGGGTTGGCTACATTGTCACTGCAATATTGGACCCCTATAATAAATTAAAATAAAAAGAATCAAACTGTTATACAACATTGATAAAATGAGCTAAAAATGACCATGACATTGTACTCATGAATAAAATGAATTGTAAGTAATGTCTCTGAGACTTGGAACCTATGGCTCTTTGGTAAATACTTAAATATAAATAGACCAACATTGAAACCAACTTTACTAATATAAATTTTGTATATGCATACATACATAATATAAATATTCACCACATTTGAGACCAGCTTTACATATATACACATACATACAAGCCAATAACACCCACTGAATTTTGATAAATACTAACTGATTGATTATCACTATAAGATTTTTTTAGACATCATGTCTTTGGGCCCTATGTCTTTCCAGCATCATATATTTATCCATTTAAAATATTATTGATCAGATCATATCAGACTAGATAGGATTGAATATATATTTTGCCTGGACCCAACTATAAATGGATGGGATTTGGATCACACTTAACAATCAAATTCAAATTTGGACAAATAGATATGTTTGCAGCCCTATATGCCACATATGCCATGGCCATGTAGTTATGATATATTGAAGCTGATGTATCAGCTTAAATTGTCAATGTCTCACCTTTCAGTCTAGACCTAGACATCTGCCAGATGGCTAAAATCCATTTTAAATTAATGATAAAAATGGGGATTGGGGAATGCTATTTGGGACAGAAGCGACATACATGGTGGACCATTGAGTTAGAATGTTAAGGCCATTTTCCTGCCAATCTTTTGCTCTTGCCGACAAATGAATAGTTGGCAATGGAAATCAAATCAGCTGGGGGATTAAAAAAAAAAAGGGTAAAATACAAAGACCTCTCCTGAAATTTCTGGCAATCATAAAAATCTATCCTATGGTTTCGTTGTAATAAATATCTCCCCTGAACTTTTTGATGAAAAACATTAGT